CCCACCTTCTAGGTGTCTCCAGTCACAGAACCCAAAAAAAAAAAACAGGGCAGCACCCAAGTCATCCGGGATCATCTCGCTGAGCCCTGCCTCGACGACCTCATCCTTGGTCTCGACCCTGTCTTTTGCCCTCTCAACGCAAACTCGTCCATCGTCCACAGAGTGACCACCTGTCCAGCCAGACAGCCAGCCTGCCTGCAGATACGCACACCACACACGAACGGACATAGTCACGCCGCACATTCACCGTTGAACGGCTCCCGCCCCGACATTCCTTGGCTGTCAAAAGAAGCAGAACGACACCGTTGTCTTCTCGTCTACCCGATTCATCGCATCGCCTATATTCGAAGACCTTCCGACGCGGGTGTCCCTTGTAATATCTCTCGCAACACGACGGCTTTTTCTGACATCAAAGCCCTTTCGCCTTCGACCTTCGCTCCTTCGCAAACGAAACGAGATCCCCCGTTGACGAGCCCACTTTCCCCGACCTCGAACCCCTTTGGCACCTCGTCCTGCCTGGGTAATCCGACGCAAGACACAATACCGGCCCCTGTCGGTATTGCTTCCCTCTGCGTTCACGATTTCTTCTGCGCCAACTCGGTCTTCCGTTCACACCCTTTTTTTCTCACCTTCTCCAACACACACCCCCGTCAACAGATCACCATCGCCACGGCGCGCTTCGTGTCACCAGAAAGAGAAGAGAAACCAACTAGTATCTGATGATCGTCGCCGGTAACAGTAATTGATAATGTCAACTTCGAGATCCGATCAATTGCCCATCGGGTATCCGCCTCAGTCGGCATCTCAGACCCGTTCGACCTCCCCGTCCTCCACATCGCCCGCGGACTCCGCACTCGCGTCCGGTGTCCGCTCTTCCTTTGGCCTACCCCCTGGCCTGAACCCTCCTGGCAAGATGGCCTCCAACTCGCGATCAGGGACTGGCTCTCCGTCGCACGAAATGCCGGGTTCAAGCAGGTTATACTCCAAGAGGTCTGTTGACCCTCCTTCCTTCCTTGCCGTTCAGGATGCAAAAGATCTGCCCTCGCATCGTGCTAACCTCGAGAACCACAGAGCCAGAGAGATCCAGGCACAAGAAGGCATTCCTGGTCTTCCCCTCAACCCTTGGGGCGGACCTCCCACAAGTGGCAACTCGACGCCCCTCCGCGAGAACATCCCCGAATCGCCCACCGATGGCTTCCCCGACTTTGCTCCTCCTATGCCTGCTTCCGAGTTGCCCCAAGCTCGCCGTGCCCGGGCTGGCACTTTGCCCTCCCGCTTCTCACCTGGCGGACCAAACCTCCCGCCTGGCCTGTCCAGGTCCAACCGAGTCACACCTTCCCACACCCCGCTCAAGTCGCCCTCGCCGGCCCTCGACGGCAACGAACAATCGTCCAGCAGCTCCGCGCTGCTGTCCCGCCTTCGTGCCGGATCCATGCCCCAGCGGAGCCCGTTCGCTCACGTGCCCGGCACCAGCTCCCCTTTTGGCCCCTCCATCTTCAGCAGCTGGAATCCAGCCGGCGTCGGTCGTGAGCGTGGTTCGACTCTGGCTAGCATCGCGAGCATTGGTTCCAACGGACCGAGCTCCCCCGCCCAGTCTCACTTTTCGAAGGAAGGCGCGGTGAGAATGATGTGCATATGCGGACTCTTGACTACCTAGACTTGCCGAGACGCCGCAGCCGCCCCGTGCCCAGCTTGCCACCCCGTACCTGCCTGCCAACTACAACGACTTGTCGAAAGCTAGCCGCTTCCGATCCTACTCGGTGAACAACAAGGACAAGTACGCAGACGAGGAGGATGATTACGACGAGATGGACGGCATGTACCTCGAAAGCCAGTACGCAGCCCAGCTGCAGGATCAGCTCGCCGCCACCAATGCTGCTATTCACAGCCATAACATGGCGGTGCAGGCTTTTGTCAACCAAGCCAGCCGTCCCCGCGCGCGAACCGCTGGCGTCCTGGACACTCCCGGTTCGCGACTGATGCGTACATACCTTCCAAACAACGGCGGCGGACCCCCCTCGCTCTCTTCCGCCGAACTTCGCCTCCCCGACGACAAGGACTACGATGAACTGCCGCAGGCTGTCGCTGCTATGAACTTGGGACGGTCCAACAGCCGAAACGCCGGTCTGCTGAACGCTGAGGATCAAGGACTCGAGGGACCTACCAGTGCTCTATGGCTGGGAAGCATTCCCACCTCCACCACCACCTCTACCCTGACCGAGATGTTCAAGTCCTATGGCCCGATCTTGTCAGCGCGAGTTCTCACCCACAAGAACTGTGGATTCGTCAATTTCGAGCGCGTTGAGAGTGCTATCACTGCCAAAGCGAGCATGAACGGCAAAGAGATCTTCCCTGGCGCTGGCCCTATCCGTATCAACTTTGCCAAGCCCCCCTCTGCCTCAAACACCCCCGGCCACGACGGTGTGTTCCCTTCGCCCAGTCCCGATCCCTTCGCCAAAGGACAAGAGAATGGTCAGGGTGGCGCTGGATCTGCCTCGAACCCAGCAGACGGTTCCACTGTGCCGGCTCGCTCCGTCAACACTCCTCCCAACGCCCCGTCCCTGCAGGAATCAACCGCCGACATCCTCCAGATCGTTAAGCAGTTCCAGGCCTCGGAGGAGGATCTGTACAGGATATCCGGCAACCTGCAATCCGCCGTTCAGTTCGACGCTTTCGTCGAAGAGATCCCTCCCATCCGTGAGCCCGCGCACTCGCGTGTCCATGATGCCCCTAAGCTGCGGGACATTCGCAAGAGGATCGACAACCAAAGCCTGTCAAAGTCAGAGATTGAGAACATAGCCGTCGACATGCTCCCGGAGATCGCCGAGCTCTCCTCCGACTACCTCGGCAACACGGTCGTACAGAAGCTCTTCGAGCACTGCTCGGATGAGCTGCGTGACGCCATGCTGGCCGAGATTGCGCCTCACATGGCCGAGATTGGTGTGCACAAGAACGGCACCTGGGCGGCGCAGAAGATCATTGATGTTTGCAAGACGCCGCAGCAGATGATGCTGATCGTGGAGCACTTGCGCCCCTACACCATTGGTCTTTTCCTGGACCAGTACGGCAACTACGTCTTGCAAGGCTGCCTCAAGTTCGGTGCGCCGTACAATGACTTCATTTTCGAGACCATGGTCGGTAGGTTGTGGGATGTCGCTCAAGGTCGCTACGGCGCTCGCGCCATGAGGGCCTGCCTTGAGAGCCACCACTCCACCAAGGACCAGCAGCGAATGCTTGCTGCCGTCATCGCTCTGCACAGCGTGCAGCTGGCGACCAATGCGAACGGTGCACTGCTTCTCACCTGGTTCCTCGACACTTGTACCTTCCCTCAGCGCCGCACGGTCCTCTCGCCGCAGCTCGTCCCCTATCTGGTGG